AAACTTGGATTATAAATAAAACACTAAGAAATCAAAATCTATCTAAAATTAAATCTTTCTTTAATCAAAAAGGATCCTACATAAAAGTACTAATAATTTTATTATAAGTAGGTTTATCAGTTTAAATTGTTTATTACCATCTATGTTTATTAGTTTAAGTTGTTTATTACCATCTATGTTTATCAGTTTAAGTTGTTTATTACCATCTATGTTTATTAGTTTAAGTTGTTTATTACCATCTATGTTTATTAGTTTAAGTTGTTTATTACCATCTATGTTTATTAGTTTAAGTTGTTTATTACCATCTATGTTTATCAGTTTAAGTTGTTTATTACCATCTATGTTTATTAGTTAAGTTGTTTATTACAATCTTTACTTCTCCTTTTGAAATCAGCAGAAAAAAAAACCACGTTAGACTACTCTAAAAATAATTTTAAAAGACAATTAATTGTCAACTAAAGTTTACAATTACATTGAAGTTATTTTAGTGTTCTAGAAAAGTTAATAACTCAACACAGAATCATATAAAACTTTACATGCAACAACACTCAAACTTTTGTAACTAAAATAATTTATTTTTGAAAAGTACTAAATATGTATACGAGACTTTCTAATTCACTAAGAGTCTGGTTTAGATATGTAAACCTCATATGTTGTACTTAGAAAACCTATGGAATTGAGCATGATACTTGGAAAAACCAATATTTCTAATGGAATAAACACCAGCTTAGTGATGAGAAGATAAGCCTAATTTTAGTGACTTTGAGATTATTAGACCTAATATTAATATAGTTTTTTTTTGTCCAGAGCATCAACTTAACTGGTATGTTTAATATCCTTTTTTTAAACAAAATTATCCTGCTTTTAACACCAATGAAACTTAAGTTTATAACAGATTTATGAGGTACCACTTATTAGTGTTAACGATATTTGTCAGTAAGGTTCGTACAATTGCTTGGTTCCATAATTCATGATGTTTTTTGTTAGTTCTTCAGGGTTATATAAATAAATAATGGTTCTTTCACAATCCATATTTAATTTAACCATGTCATATTGTTCTGTATTTTCTGCAAACTAACACAAATTTCATAACATATTACTTGTAACCATATTCTGTTAGTGACACATTACATAATAAAATATAAGTACTACAAAAATGATTAATCACATGTAAAGTGGCGAGGGGTGTAAAAGATAAAATGACATCAACACAAAATATACAAAAATCGTTTACACTGACCCATAAAGAGTTCAAGGTCTAGAAATTGAATGAAATCGAATACTACAAAATGCTTTGGAAAAAAAACAACAAAAAAAAACATGAATATTTAATTTTTTAGGTCATTTTTTCTTCCAGACTTTAAAAAAAAAATTTAACCCATTGGAAAAAGTCTGGATAAAATAAATTTAGTTGTCATGTCCCTATGTAACCTTATTCTTAGTTTACTCTCCTTTAATCTGAAAAGCTATTAGATTGTTACATATGTTTTGCACACAATAAAGTTTATACTTGAAAAGAAGTTAGTCTGAAAACTTACGATGCTCTCAGCACAGAATACATGACAATAATGGTAATTTGTCTGGTGTTCTTTGGTAATGTATGCAAAATGGTTGAGATCTTCAGCATCCTGACACGCACAATGAATGTTTCGGATTTCATGTTCACACACCTTATGCTGAATAATAAAAACCAACAAACTTCTAAAAACACTTCCATAAAATGTGCAACAAACGAGTATCCACAAAACTAAAAAACAATTAAATATAGATCAATTATTATTATTTAATTGCTACCAAAATTCACTGAAGATCATCAATAATCTCTAGGTCAAAGTTCACACAAAACATAACGAGTATTTACGCTCTTCCTTGGCAAAATAAGTTTTAATGAATTAGAAATTTCCATAGAAAAAATGGTAGATAACATCTCGGTAAAATATGCGAAAAAAATCAGTACGGTTATTACAGTATTTGCTAAAACTATGATGGCTGTTCAGTCAATAACCTAATTTAACCTTCTATATATATATAATTACTCAAATTTCAACATCCAAGTTATTCACTTTCTGTATGTAAGTATTAAGAATGTGAAGTTTACATATTTTTTTTATTTTCAGAGACAAAGCAATACAAAACTACTTACATAAATAAATATTTCCTTCACTAAACTGTGTAACTACTAATAAAAAAAGTACATGTAGCTATCTATCAAGGTAAAAACAATTTATTTCATCATCATGTTGAGTTCTATTGTATGTGAAAAGATTTGTCACAACAGAGAATTAATTATAAGAAGTGAAGCCGAGGTGTAAAATTCTGCATTTCTACCATCAAAATGAATATCAAACAGGTCTGCTAAGATCATAAAAGTCTTTCCTTGTTGAGTATGAATTCATGATCTCAACCAAATGTGTGAACAAACATTTCCAAACATCCTTTATACACTGCAGAGTATGCATCACTCACCCATAATTCTCCACTCTCCCACCTTCCATGTGACTTATTACTGAAAATGTCAAGGTATCTTTAAATAAGCTCTGCTTTCCTGACAAAAATTTAGATTTTATAGAAAGTCGTGATGAAATGTTAGTTGTGGGATGGCAGGTGGGAAGGTATTGCAGAAGTAAACACCTGTTTGAAATTGAATTTACTGCCACTTACCTCTGAAATATTGTAGGCCACAATACCCACATTGTAAAGGAGGTGGAAACCGATTAACATGGAATCCAAAAATATAAAACTACAAGTTTCAGGTAGGAAGGCTCTAACAGAGCCTTTCCAGAAAAAAAAAAAAAAAAAAGAGTATGAGAAACATCAGTGGCAAAAAAAAAAAAATAGATATCTCCACCATAAAATGAGCAATAATATAAAATTATTCAGGGAAGACAGTAGAGTGAACAAAAAGTGAAGGCCTCAAAAGAAGAAGTCAGGCAAATTTAAAGCCAGACATAAATCCTACTAAGGACAGTGTTTAGATATTCAAGAGGGACATAATACAAAGCAAAAAAAGGACCTAGAAAAAAAATGGGGCTGATGGAGCATGTGGCTTCTGTTACAACTTAAAATGGTCAAAAGTTCAATTCAGTAGTCTGCCATAGTTGCAAACAAGCCCCAGTCACGAAAGAAGTACATCAAGAAGAGAAACTAGCTTCATTAACAAAGGCTCACATGACAGCCAGCCATGAAGCTCTGGATGACAAATACATTGTGGAAGATGTACCAAAACATAATGGAGTAGGATCTCTCCGAGATACGTGAGAGGAGTGGAAACTGCGTTGAATCAGACCAGCTTGGAGCAATAAGAAAAACTGGAAGTGGGATTAAATGATTTTGACCAATACCCAAGAAAGAAATTAAAGATTAGGGGTAGGAATAGAGAAACAATTCTTCCCAGGTTGGTTTAATACATCCAATATTAGTGAAGCTGGACTCCAAAATTTGGAAAACATCAGAAGATGATACAGTTATGGCATGAATACATCAAGTATAGGATGACTGAACCATACACCCCAACCAACAACATATCAGCGCAGAAAAGACATAATATGAAGATAGCCAAGAAATACAGAAATCACAGCAAACAAAGGCATGTAAAATTGATTCCCACCTTGCCTGTTGATACATCACCACTGTTGAGATGTCTGTGAGTACTGAAACACAGCAGTTGTGTAGCAAGGACAGAAACTCCTCAAATTCATGTTGAGCAGCCCAAATGTTCAAATAATGATGTAAAAATGGAATATCCAAGAAGACTACTGACCCCAAAGATAGCAGTCTCCTTCAATATATCACCTTAACTCTGGAGAGTAGCACTGGTGAAAAGATTCAGATCTAGAGGAAATCATGAATGAGTTACACTTGCATGTAAACAAGAGTTTTAGGAAAAATTCCAATAGATGAAAGGTGTAAGGATACACTCCATGAAGAAGCAAGATCTCATTGACAGTACCTGAAGTAAGCAAATCAACAAAGAGGAACTCATGAACGAGTTATACTTTCATGTAAACAAGAGTTTTAGGAAAAATTCCAATAGATGAAAGGTGTAAGGATACACTCCATGAAGAAGCAAGATCTCATTGACAGTACCTGAAGTAAGCAAATCAACAAAGAGGAACTCATGAACGAGTTATACGAGTCATGCAAACAAGAGTTGTAGGAGAACTTCCAATAGATGAAAGGTGTAAGAATACACTCCATGAAGAAGCAAGATCTCATTGACAGTACCTGAAGTAAGCACAGACCAAGGGAATTGTTATATGAAGAGAAGTCATCAATGTGGATGTATTAGCAGAAGGAGAAATATGTGCACTCAAAACTCAAGGGATTGTTAAAAGTCAAAGGGGTGGATGAAGAGTTGATGATATATTTTTTTTAGTTATAATAAATAATTAAAAACAACGTTTTGTATTTACAGAATAAAAACTTTATTGAAGCCGTGCGACTTCCACTTTAAAATAGAAATATCACTCTACACGTACATGTTTCGACGTGATCTACGTCATCCTCGGGAGTAACTTACAAGACTATTTTATACTTTCCTCTTGTCGCATTACTTCATTGTTATTTGCATATTTCCTTAGTGTAATTGAAAAATAAAAATAATGAGTTGATGAGATGTTGAGTTGGCACAAGTTGAGACTTAGACTCGTGAACAATTCATTACGAAAAGAAACAAATTGAACAATCAATTAAATGTAAGGTAACCAGGAAACAAAAATTCTCTGACCATCCATATAATGATGACAATCGATACTGTGCATAAGAAGACTAGTTAAATGTTATACGAGGGGGGTGGTGGTCATGAACTGATAAATCACTTCACTGTGTGAAAAATAGGATGGGCAAAACAGGACTTGTAAATAAGCATTGCCTGAAATCTGCATTTGTCATCCAAAAACCTTAATGACGGAACTTTCATATTAGGTTCATAGGTTCCACCTAGAAATGAGGAATGTCTGGATAACAAATGTAATGAGAAGAATTGAAGAATAATCTACAATCTTCTATGGCACCACAATAAGATGAGAGTAAAAATCTTGAGGTAAATGAAGTATAAAATCAACATCCTTTTATTGTGAAAAACGTTTGAAACTGCATTTGGAAGATGAAGGGAAAAATGAAAATGAATAAACTGTTGAACCCAAGGATTACAAAGCAAATGGCCAACAGGTGAAGTAAAATCTGAGATGACCTTCCAAAAAATCCATATGAAAAAGTCATCTGGAACAGAGTTCTTTGAGAGTCATAAGGTCCCACTTTGTTTACATTGCATTAGACCACAATGAAAGTACTAGGTCCCCAAAAGTGTTCCTGTTTCAAGAGTAAATA